GTCACACAACAACCACCGTCCACATGCCGGACGGCTCCCAAGTTCAAGCCCCGGGGTGCAAAGGTCAAGAAATAACTGCACTCCTCTGAAGGAGCATCTGGACTCACTGTCGTGGATGAGCTCATTCTGGACGGTGTCCAAACCAAGGGGGCGAGGCAGAGCCTGTGTCATCTGAACTTTCTTCATTGAGACTTGAGTCTTTGTGTAAAGAGCAGCAGCAGCAGCAGCAGCAGCAGCAGAGTGTCTGCAGTCTGTGAAGCCTGACCGAGGACAGAAATTCTTCTTGTCCATTCTAACTGCTCCACATGGGCCGGTGAAATCAACTGCTATGAGAAAAGACACCTTTAAGAACCTTAGGTCATCAGCGTTCTCTGACATTAGAGCTGTCGTCAGATTTACAACTCGACACCTGGTCGACACAACCTGGTATCTTGTCTGAATAACTTGCTCTCTAATTTGTATCTGGTTTGAACAATTTGTTCCCATGTGAGTCTGGATCCTTTTTTATCTGGTATGCACCACTTGGTATTTAGTCTGCTTTATTTGGTATTAGCATGACTTGGTACGTGGTTTGTAAAGCTTGTTATCTAATATTCACAATTTGGTATTTGCCCTGCACAACATGTTATCTGGGATATTTTTTCCAGGACCTGTTTTTTCTTTTATATATATACATAATAAATAGTACACAAGCAGATTTTAATTAATAGTATCCGAGGACTGGGAGCCCAGAAAAACACGGCCCGTCATCAAGGCTTATTTTGGTCTTATCATATTCATAACAAGGGAGCTGTTAAAAAATTCCTCCTAATCTTATCTGACAAATAGACCTTGATGACTGGCAGCGATGCTGAAGTCAGTAGCCTTCAGCTGCTCTCAGCAGACACAGCACGGGGGCAGACATTTCCCAGACGAGCAGGAGGAACTCTCAGCAGGCCTCCTGATATCATTTTAACCCAAACAGACCTTCTGGCCGACAACCTCCTCTCCCGCTGCCTCTCTCTAAGATAAAGCAGAAGCCTCCGTCCCTCACTGCTCACGGATCAGACAGCTTTTGTCCACATTGCTCGGGCGGTGCAGTCAGTGAGGGAGCTGGGTCCAGGCTGACGTCAGCCGTCCACTCTGGGACAGCAGCGATAAAGACGGCTAATTGGAGGCCGTCTGCACGATAACGAGTCCAGTTAGAGAGAACATAATCAAAGGAAACAGGCTAATTGGGTTAAATTAAATCTGCCTTTGAAGAGCGGGCTGCTGCCAACTGGACATGGCCTCCGCTGATAAGACGACGATAAACCCGTGTCCTCGAGCTGTTTGTTTTAGCCTCTTAATTCAAGGCAGGAAAAGAAAACTTGTCTTTTCACAATTTTGGCAATCTGTTTTAGCTAGCTATTAGCTATAATGGGCTATTTTTTGAAGGTTTTTTGCGAGTTTTTGAGAATAGTTTTTATATTTAAATGTTTATTTTTTTAATATTTTGCGAAACAGTTTTTGTACGCTACTGTTTAAATGTTTTTTCTTGAGTTTTGCTTATGTTTGAGTTTTTTAGGCCAATCTTTGTGGTTATATTTAGCTTTGTTTGTTTCTAGCACATTCTTGGAGTTGTCTTCATTTTTGTTGCATTTAAAACACTTTCTGGTCCAAGCCCTGGAATATGCAGCCCAGTTACCCTGAAGCAGCACTGTCAACTCATACATGGGTCAGTTGACCTTCATATGTTTTATCTGTGTACCACTCTGGAAAAGGCTCAGACAGCAGAGGGTTGAATCAAATGCCCTGTGAGAAAACAGAGCTGAATAACAAAGTTGTCACCAGAACGTGACCTTTTTTGTCCAATTAGCCAAATGATCCGTAAAGATGTGTGTGTCGTTGGTATAAAAACACACTGCCCATTAACCTGTGGTCTATAAAAGGACACAGGCTTCACAATTAACCCCCATTTCCAACCTTTTCCAGCTGCCTTCATTTCCAAATGACTATAATTCCAAACAGTGTGGTGATTTCCTCAGCAGCGAACGCATGCCTGGTGTGCTGCTGATTATGGCTTTTGGAAAGTTGTAAAGACCTTGGTTTCCTGGAGGGAGACCGCATCAGCTGTCATATTCATAATTATAGCATTTCTCCTATTTCTCTCTATCATGTAATTATCCTATCTTTGCTATTTCTATCAGTCATATAATTATCATATAAAGTCTTTCTCCCTAAAAATCTATAGAACTTTTCTTTACGGTTTTGGATCCATGACATACAAGATTTTTAGTACAGCGTAGCCCGCGTTGTTTTTTTTAGTCCGTTGTATTTTCAGCTCGAGGTCTGCCTTAGCTACAGCACTCGATATCTCAGCAGTTTATTTTCTACGCACACACAAGCGCTATGAAGACGATCACATCTGATTGTGTCCTCACATGAGAATCACTGACAGGTCTTGGAGGGATTTATTTGTGCAAAAAGTCATTTTTGGAAAGACTATTGTAAGTTTAAACCTTTCATTTAGAGCAGAACTAGTCATTTTCGTCAGAGCGGTAATGTCTCTTCGAGCAAGGCATCAAGATTTAGACAGATTTCTGCAAAAGGTTCATATTTTTATAAACATTTGAGGTCAGATAAGAAGGAGTCATTTGGAAAATACAGTAACAGTTAGTTTAAAAATAACTTTTGGATTTTCTCCTGACTGCCCTTCCTGACACAGCCTTCCCCAAAATGAAGTAAATTGGAGGAATGCAGTACCAGCTGCACCAGCAGTACATCATTAATGTGGGGTAATCAGGGTGTTAGCTGCACTAATGAAGCAGAGTGGGAGGGCGGGGGGGGCAGAGAGGGTGTATAGAGTTTGTTGCTACACCAGGTGTGGAGGCCGCGCAGACAGGAAGTTCCAACACCTGGGAATAATGAAGTACAGAGACAATGGTTGAATCTCAGGGCTGCTGTACTCTGAGTATTAGGCCTGAGTATTTTTTTTTAAATTAGAGTGAACTGTGAAGGCATCACCGGTTCAGACTGGTCTGTGTTATGTATCTTTAAACAGTTTCCAGCTGTACAAATATTACTACCACCACTGATTCCTCACTTATTCAGCGGTCTGACCAGAGAAGTGCAGTGTTTTTGTGTCCTCTGATACGTGGTCGTTATGTTACGAAGAAATGCTGCGGTGTGTAGCTGGACGGAGACCGCCGTTTCCTTCAACCCAGAAAAATATACAATCAATGGTGGAAACGTCTGATTTTGGGAGGAAGAGAAGTTTTCCCAAGAGCTTTTGGTGCAACATTAATGCATGTGAACAGCAGCGGAATCACAGAATACGACAGAGGAAGTAAACGTAAGTAAACAAGTACACACTTGTTTGAAGATGTTTGGTGACATTTGGGTTCATCTTGATTGTTTTAGACTAACTTTAAGCCCTTCCCAGGACTAGTTGAAAATATATAAATAAACTTCTCTGTGTTGTTATTTCCATCTTTCTGTTTCATTTACAGCGTATTTGAAGTATTGTTTTTAACCTTTTATATTAACTTTTAGCCATAGTAGCTAATGTGAGCTAGTGGCTAACTTTTATCTCTTTAAACTTGACTAAAGTGAAAACTCATTATAGCACTCATTTAGTCTTTATCACCGTGACAACAGTTAGACGGGTGGTAATCTGATTTTAATACTTTCTCCTGTGTAATACTACTAGTCCTTCATCATCATCATCATCATCATCAGAACAAAAAGAGGTGAAGCAGCTCTCTGCTAATATCAAATTGAANTCACAGCACTTGACTTAAAGGCCACCTTTGTATGTGCAGAATTACCATGGCTACTGCCGACCGACTGTAAGCCTTTTAGAATTATTAGCATTCCTGTCTGCGCCCAGTGCTGCAGCAGAGCTGCTCACTTTACCATCAATGGGCCCGAGCAGAAACACAGCCTTCGTTTCATTAGTGGCTACAGGAATCTCCATCTGCCTGGAAATTCATTAAAGTCGAATTATGGGCTGCAGTCGAGTGAGAGCACACTGAGAAGTTCAACAGCACCAGTGGAGGGAGCCGGTCAAAGTGGCTTTGTTAAAGAACCAGGTGAAGAAAATTACAAAAATAATAATGATGATACAGCCTGGAGTCGTTGATGTACAAGGCTGTGTAAACACCTGAGACAACTGACGACAAACTGAGGCCAACCTCAGCCTCTCTGATGGAGAAAGATACTGTATGTGTGGCTAAGCTAACATTTAGCATAAGTTTAGCTATTATTTGTCAAAATATATCTGGACTTGAACTTTTGTTTGTCCTTTAGTTTTCAGGCAGTTTGGTCATCATTTTGTAAGTTTTATACTGTAAGCTTCCTTGTTTTTTTTAGCTAAACTTAATAGGCTTCATCTTTGTACAACTTTGTAGGCTACCTTTTAGCATTTTCGGAGAAATATTTACTGTAACCATGTTTCCCTCCTGTTCCAAGAAGCCCAAGTAACAGAAAAGAAAACCTTTCAGCATATCATGTGTTGCATTAGCAGCTGTCGGACCTTGTGTATTTTCACTATATGAATTTAGGCGTCTCTTGAAAACAGCCGTGATCTAAAGAAACACAGTCAAACCTCGATCGGCGTCCACGGGGGCTCTGACTAAAACAATACTCTATCAGCTTCTAGATCTGGTCCACGGGGAACCAGCGAGTCTCCACTATCAGGCCAGAGGCTCCTCCAGATCCTGACACCTTCACTGATGCGGAGAAAGTAGGTCTGCGTGGTGCCCAGGGGGAAAGCTGAGCCTTGGTGACTTTTCACACTCAGTGCCAAACTGGCTAAATGCTGAGCCTTTTTCTTTGAGCAAACACGCAGACGATGTGGCGTTTCAGTTTCAGCTCCTTGTGTTGCTGCAGGTACAAGGAACAAGTACACTGCTCAGGTGAAACCAGAGGAAAATACAATGAAAGGAAGCAGGTGTGTTTGGTTTTGACTTGGTGGAACCAGGTGACGAGATCGAATTTTGTTTTATTAACGTGCCAATAAATAAAAAGAAAAAAAGAAATAAAAGAATTTTCACTGATTTATTGTCATGTACAACCAGACTATACAACATTCTTCGTCCTAAATTAGTTTGTTCACATGGTTCTTGTCTTGATGAAAGGGTCTTCATGATTTTCTGGTGGTTTCACAGGTACCGGTCCTCAGTTCTGCTGATGACAGACAGGAGTTTCTGGATCAACACCAAGACCAACTGGGTGAAGCTAAAGCTAAACATAAAATGTTCACTGTTCTACGCCTGTCCTCTTGTGCAAGTTAAATGGATACCTTTGCAACCGTGTGGGGCCTTGGAACTCCCATCCAATCACAAAGCTGGTTCCTGTGAGGTCGTAGGGTGGTGAGGTCGCTCTCCCTGGAAACGTTCCATAAAATGTCACAGTTTACAAATGAGAACTTCAGACACTTAAGTTGATTTACTAAAAGTTAACTCTACTGTGTCCAATAATTAATTAAATTAAAAAACAGTGATAGTATGTGGTTTTGCTGTTAGCAAGCAAGCTTTAAAAAGAACTCATGAAGGATAACTAGGAGAACAATTAATCTGACAGTGACATAATTCTGAGGAAAATATCCATAAGACTTTCAAACGTAGCACATTTCTACCGTAGTGCTGCTCAGTGATGTGTTAATGCCTCTATGCCTGCGCGACACGGATGTGGATTTAAGTTATTTCAGCACATTTAAGAATATTCATTTGTTACGGCCTACAGCCCACACCCACCAGTTGGTGTCACCCAGCAGAGTCACCACATCATCCATCACCTCCGGATCGATGACATCATCGTAGGTCAGCAGCATCTCGTACATCTGACTGGCTGTGGTTTTCCTTATCTACAGATTCAACAGAGGAGCAGAATGACAAAAACACAAAAAAGACATTTCTATACTAACTTTTACTTTATTTTGTTGTTGTTTTTACTTTAAAGTAGTTTATTGGTCAATTTTCCAATCTTTCTTCTATCTGGTCCATTATGGACTAACCAAAACCTAACTATATTGTTGCACCAGTGGAGAAAACATTCAGTCTGTGTAAATTCAACACATTTTTCAAACATTTAAAACACCACTGAAGTTTAAGTACTTTCCGGAACTGTCAATCACTCAGGTTTAGAAGCACTGAGTCACATTTATCATCCTCATCCACAGCACGTGTTAAACAATAACAATTAGTTCATCATTAGTTCAGTGAACGAACCACAGGGAAGCCGTGGCAGAGAAGAATCAGCAGCTGTGACAAAACTGTTCTCCTCACTCCTCCCTGGAACTGGATCAGACCACAGAAGCTGCAAAAAAAAAACCAAACCCAGCCGTCACAGCCTCTGTCAACGCTCCATATATTCATTTAATTTTCCTTCATGCTCTTTGTCACGTTGACCGCTGCAGATGACACTGAGACTCACACTGACACACAGGAACGCAGCTTGGAAACGTCTCTGGACTTCTTGAATTCTTTGCAGAGATTCAGAATATTCACGCAGAAGGGATGACTTTAAAAAAAAAGTGGAAAATGTTGAATTTATTATATGAATATTATGTCTTTTTTAAATACAAAGCTACTGCATGACTTACTCTTCTTGTTTGGTGAAGATTTCAAAGCAGCCGTTGGTGAGCATCTGGTTGAGCATTTTAAGAAATGGAATGTTCACCCTAGAAGAAAAAACACCTTCAGTCTCTGTACAGGACAGAGAGGAATTTAACTACCAACACTGAAGGGTTTACATTTATACTGGAGTAAAGAAAAATGATGCACCAGGCTTAGCAGAACTTGGATAAATCACTTTAAATGTTTTGGAAAATGGTTCAAACAGGTGACAGTGTTGAGCGAACCTGTCGTTGTGCAGATTGTCTCTGAAGATGGACAGTAACGTGTCTCCGAACTGCGTCAGAGCCACGGCGTCCTCCTGGATTCCTTTCATATATTCAAACAGTGACTGAGAAGAGAAATGGACCTGAACACAAGCAAAGGAGAAATGGACGAGAGACAGAGGAGACAGAAGAGGGAAACAGAGTTTTTTTTTTCATTTAAACACGTGCAAAATAATATTTATATAACAAATTAAATTAACCAACATTTTCACAAACCCACTGCAGTACCTTCATGGACCTGGCTATTCATTGGTGTGATAAATGTTTCTGTACGCGAATAATATGCAATAATAACATTCCAATTATTTAACTAAATTAATTTAGTTAAATTTAGTTACATTAACTAAATAAATAAAAGGCAAACTTTCTAAAGGTGCAAAAAAATGTTCCACTACTGTAGGTAAACATGGAATTTCTGTTTCAGGATTAATAATTATAAAATTGTCAGGTTTTTGTTCAGAGAGCGAGTGAGTGACCGCTCTCTCTACATTAAGTCTAGTGTTTAAGTCGATTCTTGGATAGTGTAAGAAATTCTCAGCCTCTCCCTCCCTCTCTCTCCAGCCTGTGAGAGTTCGGGCCTGTGGTGTGAGAACGCTAATCTTGGCCCATGTATTGACGCAGTCTTGGCTCATTTTCCTGCACGTAACCCTGCAAAAACATATCAGTTCTTGGAGTCTCTGAGGATGTATCTGTGGCAGAGAGCGGCCGAGGAGCAGGAGGTAAAATCCTGACGAGATCCAGATCGTCTCCGCGGGAATATACTTCCAGCCTCTGGAGGCAGCGCAGTTCAGAGCCACTGGCTACACCGCTGCTATTACAGGCTTTACACTTATCTTTCTTTATTACACACACAAACATTAAAAGTTAAAAATAACCTGGCCCTCACAGATCTCTCACTGAAAGAGCTTTTAGATTGAGTTTTTCTGACAGGTTAGGTCACAGTGAAGGGAAATGGGGAAACCAGCAGAGGGACGATGAGGAACAGTTCAGCAGAGAAAAGAAAAATAGGTTTTTTTGTAGAACTGCAGCAGCAAAACCTCAAAGTTGATGAGGTTTTCTCAGTGACATCTTCAGGGAAAAGGTCAGAAAAGTTGATTTCTAAAGAAGTTCGGTTAGTGGTAGTGTAGTGGTTTAAATCTAAGTCGTAGTAAACACCCGGATCAGAGTCAGGCGGTAACATGACTGAGCGCTCTAATTTAGACCTATAGCTCCCTCTGGTGGTCAAAAATAGTCACTTTGAGTCCAGTCCCAAATTCTTTTTAAATTTGAATTTTGAGTCAAATTAATTTTTTTATATATTATTTTTAAATTTTTTTTCAATTGCTCTTTTAATCTAGAACACAGAGACTTTCTAAACCAGAGTTATAACATTCAGTACTCTCTAGAACAGGCCTACAGTACAACACCACATTTACTGGACCACAAACTGATTAAAAAAAATAAATAAACAGTTCCATTAAGTCACTCTGTGTCCTGAAACCTGTTACTGATTTCATAATGTTCTTCTCTCATAACAGTTGACCTACTGTGGACTCTGTGATCCCTCCCACAGACACTGTGAGTCCGAGCAGAGTGTGGTAAAGGTACTGTTGCAGACCCAGAAGTTGGCTGATATGCTGGAAGGACTGGGACGGAGCTTTCCAGTTCAGACTGGCTGAGGTTTCCCTGAAACGCATAAGAAAAAAATGTTTGAAGTCAATCATTTATAACACAGCAGAGGTTTGAAGCACAAATCAGTCCTGTGATGCCACACAGATTTTTCTGCTAAAGAAAATGTTGCTTCGGACTATTTATGAAGTAACATAAATATATATAATATATTTAATGATATATATTATTAATAATACATACTATTAATAATAAATATAACATAATATAACAAAATGCTACTTTCTGAGTTACTCACACAGAGAAAATAAGCAACAGCTCCTCCTTGTGGGGAATGTGCGGCACTGCAGGCTCTGTGCTGTGGAGGAGGCCAAGGAAAATGTTTCCAGCGTGGGCTCTGTAGCGGTCAATCTTCTCGGCCGCCTGCTGAGCCAGGCAGCACATCATACAGCCTACTCTGTAGCAGCAGACGGAAGGGGAAATCAAACGTAATCACGTGATGGTGTACTATTTCTAAAAAAATGTTTTGGAATCAAATCAAATTAAAGATGACAGATGAGCACGCTGTTTCTAATCATGTAACATTGTAGTTGATGTTTAATGAATAATCAAAGTGAAGACATTAATTAGTCCCTAAACTGACTCAACCACAGTTAATTAAATCAGCAGTTTGTCAATCACCATCAAAAAGGTTTCTTTTATTATTTTCATCTGGAAATCAAAGATCCAGATCAACTGTGTTCCAGGTTTGTAACTGTTCACTCACTGCTCAGGTGACAGCATCTGTGGAGCAGCGGTGGCCACCAGCACCGTCACAACCTTCAGGCTGCTCATCGCTGCCTCCCTCACCCTGGTGGAGGAAGACAGTGGGAACTTAATGCATGTGAAGACATGGGATCATTTATATTTTAACAAGCACTAACTGTACTGTATGAGAAGACGGCATTATTACCAACCCAGATGATGGACTGTAGTTCTCTACAAACTGTTCCCTAACGACTATCTGAAGCTCCCACAGATGTGATGGTGTTTTTAGCTAAACCCTGGTCTTTAGTTCATTATACACACACATACACACATACTATACTTACATACATACATGTATGTTAAGTCAACAGTCAGTTCACAAACATCAAATATAATTCTACAGGGAACCAATTCAAAGAGGCTAACGAGCCACGTGGGACTCAGGAGCCATAGGTTGCAGACCTCTGCTCAAGGGCAAAATATTTCAGGTTTGTTCAGCTCAAAACAGTTAAATTTCCCTTTTATGCAAAACAAATGGTAAACTAAACTGACATGTTTGTAACTAAATAAAACTAACCTGACTGATCTATTTATATATGTGTTGATAGTTTGTGCTTCTGCTCAATGAATAGGTTTCTTCCTAAAAGTTACAAATATTTTTGTATGTAAAATAAACTGTATGTGCAGGTACAAGTTGCCAGATAAAGATTGTATTTCAGTGCTACCGGATTGTCACTGGGAACAGATCTGGAAGCTTCATGGCTGCGGGGCATAATTTGTTTATGTCACTGTTCAACTGAGAGATTCATTCAAAAGTCACACCCTGAAACAGGTGCAAAGGCGAGGTGTGGAATCCCTGCTTATTGTGTTTTTGGATAGGAAAAGAAAAAAGGAATTACAGATATTTATTGCGTAATTAAAAAGAATAAATAACGCAAATGCGTGTCCTTTTCGACAGTGGCTTTGAAATTCAGTAAAGAGCAGGAAAAGACTGTTAGACAGCTGAAGAGCAGCGGCCCATCCCATACTGTGTGGACAAGTGACAAGCCTGGTGGCATTCCAGGCGAGGCGGTAAGCATGGCCTCAGGCTACCACTGAGAGAGGCATGTGTGTTATGTCTCCGCAGAGGAGGGACACCACACAACCCTGGCCGCGGGTGCCGGGACATTCCTAATTCTTTGGGCAAATTAAGAGAGTATGTTTGTGTTTGAGTGTGTTCGCTCACCAGGCTCCCACGTCTCCTCTGCTGTCCGTGGTGTAGTCATTGATGTTCTCCAGGAGCATGTCGTACACCTTGGCTATATTTTCAGCGCACAGAGCAGAGTCTGGGGAACCACCAGGGGAGACTCCGGCTGTCAGGCACACTCTGGGGGGGAGGGGGGGTTTAAAAACACAGAGTGTCACAGGGCTGGACAATAACTGGAGACGAGCACAGTGTCCATCTGTACAAGCATGTCCACAGATTAGCTAATACACAAGTGCTTCGGGCATAGCAAAAGAACACCACTCTGATTGGCTCTCACCCTCATTCGTTCCTCTGCTTTATTTGACTAACTCAGAGATGTTTTTTTTGTTTTTTTTTTTTCATTTTAATTAGTTGACTAGTCATCCATTCATTGACTAGGTCACTGACGAAAATTACAAGTGTACAAAACCAAAGATGAAAGCGATATATATATATATATAACTATGTAAACCAAATAACATTACCAGCTAAGGGGAACGATAGCTTTAGATTAAGAGAAGGGGCCGACATGTTATTCAGGTCCTGCAGGTGCAGTCAGTCAACTGTTTATTTAACAGCCGACACAAGTATGCATTTAAGCCAGCAGGTAAGCAAGTGAGCCAAAGGGAGGCAGAGACACAGAGCTCTTTGTCACAAAAGGTTCAAATAATTCACAAAAAGATCAGTCTTTTTAAATGACATGACGACTGAGTGAACTCACTGAGAAACAGCACTGACGGCATCTCTCCTGGCCTCTGTAAAACCCGCCTCCTTCTGACTGACGATGCACATCTGGTGGAGGCCTTCAAGGACCTGTGTCACAATCGTGCAAAAACAACACAAAACACAACACATATATGCCTGAATATTTCGGACAGATAAGTGTCAAACTAGAAAGTGTTCATACTTCAAACACACCTGCTTCAGTTTGCCATGGATCATAAATCTCGGCAGACAGCCGAGGGCGAGGGCAGACCCGCAGCGAGTGAGCATCTGAGGACTACTCAGCCCCTCGATGTACTGAGACACCAGAGCATCTACAAAACATTTCCAAAATGACAAAGAACAGGCGCCGCAGGCACTTTACAGCTAATCTCAGATTAAAACCACACCTGTGTAGGCTGTTTTACTTTGAACATTTTATACAAACTCATCTGACAACTTTCAGATTGAGCTTCTCTGAGGATGAACAAAGACTGACTGAAATGAAGTGGATCAGAGCTGCTGATTTAAATGACAATGAGTCAGGTTTTATAACAATAACAAGGTGGTGGGTTTCAGTTCCATTAGAGTTATGATAACATACAGCGACAACATACAGAAAGACTGGGAATCAAACCAGCAAATCCCTAATCTTCGTGCTATAAGATAAGCCTAACTTCAGGCCATGAGTTTGGAAGTGGGCATTCTACCTTGGATCTGTTCATCAGCCTTTCCTGACTCTGTTTGGTAGAATTCTTCACACAAGGCAGACAAAGCTCCAATGACGGCAGCCTGCAGAGACACATGATCAGTACAGTCACTGTGTCTGAACAGATTCATTTAAATCACATGGTATTAAGGAAAATAGCTTCCCATGATTCCATCCTTCACACCACGAGAAAACAGGTGAAGAGTATGAATGGTGTCGTCGATGAACAGCTGCCAGTCGGCTGGAACACAGAGTTAGATGATCGTGACTTAATGAAACCAAACATCATAATCACTGCTGTCTGGAAATATTCAACCTACTGATGACAGGGTCGTTTTTGAAAGGCATTTTGGAGAGTGAGAGTTTTTCTATCAGGCGACACACTGCAAGGAAAAGAAAACAAAATCAAGATTGTACTTTTCTCATGTTATATTGAATAAATAAAAAACACGATTTAACTGATTTACTGATTAAACTAATAAAAAAAGTATTTTGAGTTAGCTTTTACTCTTACCTGCTGGTCTCATCAATTCTCCACCAAAACCCCTGAGTAAAAAAAGTATACAAATGTATTTTTTTAAATTCAAAACATACCCACTACCTAATACATTATTACATATTAAATTATTGACATAAAAATTGCAAATGTATTTATTTTACCTGTATTGTTTTCTGCTGTGTAGCTAAAAGAAAAAAAAAAACAGTAAACTTAAGTCATTGAGTCAGCTGACTTTGAAGGAACTTTGGTCTCTGTGAGCGACTCTTACTGTGTGATGAATATTCTTCAATGCATCCACACATCCATGTTCAATCATGTCCACCACAGTCCTGCAGCAGAGATATTGTGATAAAAAAATAACAGTAGTATAAATATATATATATATATATTTATATATATATATATATATATGTTTAAATACATATATGTATAAAGATATGTGTATATGTATACATATGTATTTTTACATACTGTATGTATGGTTCTTTAACTGTCTTTAGTGTAAGAAGTCTCTGATTGTAGAGTGTTATTCTTGTTACAACTGTACATATTGAAATGTTGGTAATACACAGATGCACAAACGTGGGCTTCCACCTAAGTGGACTAAAGAGTCTACCCAGACAGTGTCTACCTGTTGGTCTGGAGGCCCAGCTTGTACAGAGCGTGTGTGACCTCAGCACAGGCCAGGATGGCTCCATGGCGACTTTGGAGATCCATGCCCACCGCCATGGACAGCAGCTTAGGCAGAACTGTGACATGGGAAGAACAGACACCATGTTATTGAAATGACACGTAATTATTGGGTTAGGTTGTCAAACAAATAAACATCTTGCATGAGCACTTTATTTTAGCTAGAAGCTGTCACTTCGCCTGGGGAACAGGAAAGGTGACATTTTTTACCTGTTGTCGCCATATAATCAGGTGCTTGAGGCGTCAGGTTGTGAAGAGCTTCACTGGCAAGCTCGCGGATCGCACTGTCAAAAGCAAAACAATCTGACTACAAAACTGTGATGGTTTTATATATATATAGATTTTTTTTTTTTTTTTTGTAGAAATCCCGATTCCATACCTGTCCCAGTGGTTGATCTTCATGGCTACTAGATGGTCTATCATGGCAGTGGTGTACTCTGGGAAACTGGCTATGTAAACACTGTAAATGTAATACAAACATAATTATCTAGTTAATGTTCGTTATGTGACAGACTGACACTGAAACAAACCCTGAGGCTAACAACATTAATCAGCTAAATATTATTTTTGGCTGCTTTACTGTCAGTGACCAAAGACACTTTGGAGGTTTGAAGCTTCACTTTGTTCAATTAGGAAGAACAGTTTACTCTGTGACCTTAAGTATTTGGATCCACTGGTTTGGACAACACCAAAGGTGGCAAACCAAAGATAAAAGACTCGAAGTAAGAAACCTCCTGTGGTTGATGGTTTGATTTCTATATTAACTCTGATGACCATGCAACATTTCTGGGTAGTTTATTTGGTTGTTGTAGAAAAGGGTGAAAAAGGGAAGACAAAAAGAGAGTGCCACGGCTCTTTAGAGTATCTCACCTGATGTTTAAATAGCAGTTGTTGAGATTTCCGACAGCGTAATAGTCAGCTGTGGTTACGATGTCAATACCGTGAGGAAAAGTTCCCTAAAGAGAAAGAAATCACCACAAACAGCTCATGTGTTTCTACTGCGTTGCCAAATCAGATGCGTTCAAAGTGATCTAAATGAAAAAATCTGTGATTTTGGCTGCTGGTTCAATTACTGAGCTCAGTCTTTATGGCTCAGTAGAGTGACTTGAAGTTCTCGACTCAAAAACATTTCAGTCTTAAGGCAAGTTTGAGCAGGACCTGTTTTTTGGCAGCAGATAAAACTTCGAATCACGGTAATTCTCTAAGTCATAATGTAGAAGCAGTCACTGCAGGAGTCACAAACCTGTCGGCCCACATTCTCCTGGAAGGCAGCCTGGGACAAAACGAGACGATAATGAGAACGGGTGTTGTGAAAGTGTATATATTTAATACTGAGACCAGGGGGTGTGGCGCGACAAACTTACGGAGCCCGCTCTGCGGCAGTTGACACTTCGGTCAAACACGGCTGTGACCAGCAGAGCACTGTGGAGAGAAACACTAGTTAAACCATCTCACGACGCACCACATGCCAGGGAGGTCAATGTGTAATTACAACAAGGGCCAAGAGGGGTTCCTATTGAAATATTTATTATTTGTGTGGATAAAGGCTAAACTGTTGTTTTTGATTTTCTTTACAGTGTATAAGAAAAGACAGTGGAATTCCAGCACAATATTTCAAATTTCCTTCTCTTAAATGTTCCTTATTCTGCAGTTTCAAATTCAATTTAGCTCAAATTAATTTTAATGTAAAGTTGCTCTCAAGACGTGAAAATGTTACAATTTGCTCAGACTCGAGAGTCAGACAGGACCTACTGTAAACCTCAGAATTCTGAAAACGTAATTTTTTTGGTGGCAGCAACAGAGTGACAGAGGACACATGTCGACCCGTTGGCTACATTTCTATGATTCCTGCAGCAGCATCACAACAGTCGAGGGTCATTGGGTTTGTTGTTCCCCTTGACTTTGAGATAATAAGAACTGTTTCCGGGGTTGGTACTGAGATATTCCTTTTTAGTGTTTATAACTTTCTCATTCGGTCAAATTATACACAGGCCTTACATTCAATAAATCTGGAACATACCATGCACAATTAATACAACATTTAAACATAAACATATTTATGGAGATTTCTAAACATCTCTCCTGTGGTGGAAGCTAACAGGGAAGGCCTATGCTGCTATATTCTAATGTTGGTCATCATGGTGGTACTCAGAGAGATCAGTGTTTTCTCAGGTGGTACAGAGAAGAAAACGTTTGAGAACCACTGGTCTGGATTATACAGACTTTAAAAGCAGCAGTGTTGGATGTGAAAATAACAGTAAACGTATGGGACACAACCTTCGATACATTAGAAAATCTATCTTTGTTTGTTCTCCTTTCAGGTTCCGTGTCTCTTAACAGACAAATGTAGGCCTGCAGCTTTGCTAACTGCCCCAGTTTACCTTCAGTAACTGCCCTAACCCTGAGGGCTTGTAAAAAAAGATGCAGTCAATATTAGGCCCTGTGTATGAGCAGATGGAACCTTGGGGGTTATAGATACTGCTCTGTGTATGTACAGCATTTTCTCCCAAGGCACTCTGTCCCGCATTCAAAAAAAAGTGCATTTTTTCATCGTTAATGTCATTTCACTGTGATGGATGCAACAGGAATCAGCTTGTCTGAGTTCTGCTGCCAAACAGCGACCGAAACTTACAGCAAAAGGCGAAACCTGGCAATCCTGTAGACAAGGGAAAGGGAGGGTGTTGTCGCGACTGCTGATGATAATGGCAGCAGGGGTTCAAACTGACTCTGCAGAGCTGGTCTGCACACTCACAGGCCACAGGTTCATACACGCACCGCCACAGCTCCAGGAGAGGGTAAACCGTTACGACTCACAAAGACCTGATCCTACGTCACTGGATCATTCTGCAAACTCAGCTGCTGCTCACTGGTTGTGGACTACATGTACTAATATCTGGATGTTACTCAATAATTTCCTGAAATCTCCTGCTTTGGATCCAAATATGAATTTCCCCAGAATATAATTCAAACAATAAGGAAATCCATTTTCACCCAGTGGCCTCTGTTTCTGTTTTTTTTATTATTATTATTTAACTCATTTAACTTAACCTTCCAGAAACAAAACAGACAAATATAATCAGCAACTCACATCTCATTGATCATCAAGACAATAAAATCACCATTCAGTAATAAAAAAATCAAGTAAGCTAATAAAAACGCAAAAAGCATCCCAAAAGTAATCCACAAATTTTTTTTTTTACATAGAGCAAATAAGTAAAGCTGTTACCTGGCGATCTGAGTGACAAAAGGTGTCAACTCTTTGGGCTCATAGGCTCTGGCAAAAGACCAGCACACGTAGCAGGCAGCATCACGCACGTTGGAGCCAACACTGCAGGCTCCTCGCTTCTCCTCATAGGTCAGAGACTTGATGATGAGAGGCACAACTGCAAACATGTACACAAGATCAGACATAAACACAGCAGATACGAAACATACATTATCTATTTTATTCTAAAAAATATGTGTATATATACACATACTGTATATACAGTATGTACATGTGTGTGTGTAAATGTACTGCTCAAAATGTCATAGGAAAACACAATCTTTCATCATGTGATAATTTTATCAAAAAATAATGTAAAAATAATAAAGTTTATTATATTATGAAAAATATTATATGGATCCAATGAAACGTTTAATTATAGTCATGCTTCTGGTCATATCCTGCAGCCTTTATTTGTTGCTCTCAACTCAATAATGTAGTTTATTCAATTTATTATTTACCTGTAACCTTGGGACAGTGTCAAGTCCAAATGACTAATGAATTTGAAATGAACAGACTATATTGCTATGGTGAACATCAAGGATGCACAAAACCGTGTTTTGATTTTATTCATTGCATGAATATCAAACAGTCCTTAAAGCAGTTAAGGTGACAAACTGAACGGATGTGTTCAGTTAGTAAAAAAAAGGGGGAATTATTTGCATATAACATAATATTTTTTTGTCCAACAGTTGAAGCCTGTTTGGATCCCAGGGTGAGTCAAGGCTGACAGTTACACTTCTATCTGCTGCACAGAAAACAAGTGCTGATCCTGTCAGTTTGATGACATGAAATCTGACGAGCTCGTGTGGATGAACATGTGGGATAAGGGAACTGTAAAAATGACTGGACAAGTGAAGGAGGAGAAAAAACAGGTATTGCTCCCCTCCGCCCTCTATCCCCCCCCCCTCCCCCCCTCCCCTCACCTGACCACATCATGCAAATCATCCCTTGAGGCCTGACTAATATGAAGTGCATCAGTGTTGCCCCAGGGCGCTGCTGTTTCGGCTGAAGCTCCGCCCACTGAGACAACACCTCAGAGTAAGGAACTCACCACACAAGTACCATCACCAAGTGTCACACACACATTGACAAACACGAACCGGAGCGAGCGTTTCGATCAGATATTGACGCTGTCCGTGGATTGTGGAGCAGACCTCTGGGGACCACAACATCCAGAGAGGACAACGTCCAGCTACACGTGAAGGTACGGAGCATTTCAACTATTTCATGTTTTATTTTCATATTATTGTGTTTGAGCATTTGTTTTATGTCAAAGAGCTCATTTTTATGGAGAGTTGAATTGAATAGAAGTTTAAGTTTGTCATGCACCTGTTACCTCAGGGAGTTTTAAAGGCCTCTGCAAGCACTGCACTGAGCTGGCCGTCACACAGAAGCTATAATTAAATTAAAATTTCAAAAACACTATTTTCCTAAAAAATCACAATATATAAGGGGTTTTTAACAGACACCCACATGAGCTCATGAAAAAAATATATATATTTGAATGATTGTCAAAGAGAAGGTGAAGAAAAAGGAGAACAACATCACCTAATATCACAACAGATTTTCCTTCTTAAGAAGGGAGTGGCTTTGCGTGCTACTACACTTGGACAGAAACTTGAGTGACAACTTGTTGCGACAGCGCATGACAAGCAGGTTCCGCCGAGCGACACCCAGATACACTTAACTTACAGCTTTAGGTGATGTTTCACTTCAGAGGCGAACCTGAAGTTCTTTCCAAACGCCATGGAGAACTCACATTGTCATTATACAGACATTCAAAACATACTAGGAAAAGTTAGCTTCCCAGAGCCTTGAACCTGCAGAACAGGTGAGCTCATGATATGAAGCTGACTGCATCTCACAGGTGTAGTCATGGGAAGCAGGTGGCTAGTAGTTCCCACGCCGGCAGCAGAGTTCAGTATGGATGAGAAATAATTCATGCCTCTGCATGCCCTCCAGGTCTGTGTTAGTAAGTGTCTCGTCTGCCTCGCCAACAAACCCTTAATTCCCTAATCTCCCAAATGTACGCAGCGAATGAGTGGTGAAATATCATAACAATTAAAACAATTACAGCCACAATGAAGGAGATTTGCAAATATGAATGCAAACGTGCAGCTATGATTTTGCATACCTGGGATGAGTTTTCATAACCGACCATTTCTTCTGCTTGTTGTCTAAACCAGCGTGAAGGAACAGTTGCAGGAATACGTTAGCCCCAGGGCTCAGTGTTTTGTGCAGATACTGATTTTTCTGACCAAGCAACTTACGAATCCCTCCGAGGAACTCCCACAGCTCTCTCTACCTCAACCAGTCCAACTGCTTCACCATCCTCATTACTCAGTGACATTCTGGAACAAAAGCTGCAATGATTCACCCTTTGCTTTTAAATGCCTTTAAACATCTCATTCCCCCAACAATTTTACCATATGCAAACAGAGCGACTTTTAACCATTTAAAACCTTTAAACGCTGGTGTATCTTATTTTTCAGAAAAAAAAAGAAAGAAAGACTCAAGATGGAGACTGTTCAGGAGCGAAAGCCGAAAAGGCCTCACTACATTCCCAGACCTCCAGGAAAGCCATTCAAGTACCAGTGTTTCCAGTGTCCTTTCACGTGCAATGAAAAATCCCATCTTTTCAATCACATGAAATACAACTTGTGCAAAAACTCCATCTCCCTGATGTCACAGAAATCAGGGCAGACTCCCCGACAGGTCAAGGCTGTGGCGAAGGGAGTCCCAGTCATCTCCAAGGATTGTCCAAGCCCAGTGGAGGCGGCTCAGAAAAGTCAGGAGAAAAACAGAGCAGAGGAGAGCAAAGCTGAGAGCGGAGAAGAAAGAGAGAATGCAGATGTCAGGTGTGAGAGTCCTGTGAAGAAGGACAGCCTGAATCTGACAAGGCCAAGCACAGCTCCAGAGAAAGAAAATAAGGAGAGCAATGAAGCCAAGTCTCTGCCACGCCCGTCGGCCTTCTCCCCTGTCACACCCAACCGTGACACTTCAGATGCCTTTAAGACATCTGTTCAGCACTCTGAGGAGTCACAAACCCCTGCTAAGACTTTTAACCATCCTGGCTTTCACTGGGGTACAATTTCATCATCCATCCCCTTGAAACCATTTCCACCTCCAATGGTCCCTGAATATCCAACTTATCTCCTGCCCGACCGTCCTCTGTACTCGTCCTACTACCTCCCTGGAAATCACCGTCCAAATGAGACAAACCCTTCTTCTTACCAGGAAGAGTTTGATTCCCAGAGGCCCGTAGTGCCACAACCGATCACCCCACCTCACAGTTCGCTTTTTCCAACATATGCATACTGCCACCCTTCTTACACACCTACCCCTCTGCACTACGCCCTCTACCGACCACATGAACTCTCAATGCCACTTACAGGACCTAGATATATTCCTTTGGACTTGTATGACCATACCCTCAGATCCAAGGATTTTGATTTGTACATGCATTCGCGACCAAATCACAGCAACCACAATGCATCTGCACAGGAGCAGAGTGAGCACAGGCAGAGTGGAGACCAGTCGACCAGGCAGAGCCCTAAAGAGGGCTGTTCGGCTTTGGGATCCCCTGATAGACCAAGCCACGTCCACAATGTCCACAGAGAGACAGACGCTGAGCAAACCAGTGGCACAAGTGGAAAAGAGACGACGGGTCAAACAGGACACACGGCTGTAGCCGTGCAGAACAGTAAAACTGACTTGAGGCAAATTGAGTTTGCAGAGAGTTTGCTGCATTTGAGAAATCTGCACGTGGACAGAGGGTAGGGTAAAAATGTCTGGTGCATCAAGTAACACGTCTCCTGGCTTAAAATGCTCATCTTTCTAATGTTATCTTTGTTTTGTTATTAACAGGACAGCAGAGGGCAGCAGTTACTCCACCGTGTCTGTCCCTGAGCAATGTCAAGAATCCATGTCAGAACACGATGAGGACAGCAGAGTAGACCTGGCTCCTCTCAACCTCTCCAAGAGAAAACAGGACAAAGACAAATGTCCATTTGACCACAGACTG